TTTCGCAGTCTACCCATCTGACAAAGGGCTGATATCCAGAATTTACAAACAACTCAAGCAGATTTACAGGAAAAAAACAAACAAGCCCATTCAAAAGTGGGCAAAGGATATGAACAGATACTTTACGAAAGAAGACATATATGAGGCCAACAATCATATGAAAAAATGCTCATCGTCACTGGTCATCAGAGAGATGCAAATCAAAACCACATTGAGATACCATCTCACGCCAGTTAGAATGGCGATCATTAAAAAATCTGGAGACAACAGATGCTGGAGAGGATGTGGAGAAAAAGGAACACTTTTACACTGTTGGTGGGAGTGTAAATTAGTTCAACCATTGTGGAAGACAGTGTGGCGATTCCTCAAGGCCTTAGAAATAGAAATTCCATTTGACCCAGCAATCCCATTACTGGGTATATATCCAAAAGACTATAAATCGTTCTACTATAAGGACACATGTACACGAATGTTCATTGCAGCACTGTTTACAATAGCAAAGACCTGGAATCAACCCAAATGCCCATTGATAATAGACTGGATTGGAAAAATGTGGCACATATACACCATGGAATATTATGCAGCAATCAGAAATGATGAGTTCGTGTCATTTGTAGGGACATGGATGAATCTGGAAAACATCATCCTCAGCAAACTGACACAAGAGCAGAAAATGAAACACCGCATATTCTCACTCATAGGTGGGTGATGAAATATGAGAACACAAGGACACAGAAAGGGGAGTACTAAACACTGGGGTCTATTGGGGGGAAAAGGGGAGGGCCAGTGGGAGGGGGAGGTGGGGAGGGATAGCCTGGGGAGAAATGCCAAATATGGGTGAAGGGGAGAAGAAAAGCAAAGCACACTGCCATGTGTGTACCTACGCAACTGTATTGCATGCTCTGCTCATGTACCCCAAAACCTGTAATCCAATAAAAAATTAAAAAAAAAAAAAAAAAAAAAAAAAAAAATTACTGGATACAGGCATACAAATAATGAGGAAAATATGACCAATAACAGGAAAATCAATCAATCAATGGAAACAGACCCAGAAATGACATAGATGTTAGAAAAAGGACATTAGTAGACAAGGACGTTAAAACAGTTATTATATGTTTAAGAAAGTAAAAGAAAGATTAAGCATGTTAAATAAAGGCATGGAAGATATTTTAAAAATCCAAACTAAACTTCTAGCAATGAAAACTTTAATGTGAAATAAAAAATATATTGGGTGAAATCAACAGCAGAGTAAACACTGCAGAAGAAAAAACAAATGAAGCTGAAGATATATTCATAGAGACTATCCAAAAAGAAACACAGAGAAGAAAGATTGAGAAAAACAAAAAAGAGCAGAGCACCAGTGAGCTGTAAGAAAACTTCAAGTGGCTGCCAGGCGCGGTGGCTCATGCCTGTAATTTCAGCACTTTGGGAGGCCAAGGTGGCCAGATCACAAGGTCAAGAGATCGAGACCATCCTGGCCACTCCTGGGGATGAGGGGGTTACCCCTTCCCAGTGATTTTTATTCCTGTGGGGCTCACCCCAAAGTATTAAAAGAAGCTTTGAAAAAAAAAATTAGCTGGGTGTGGTGATGCACTCCTGTAATCCCAGCTACCTGGGAGACTGAGGCAGGAGAGTCACTTGAACCCAGGAGGTGGAGGTTGCAGTGAGCTGAGATCGCACAATTGCACTCCAGCTTGGGTGACAGGGTGAGATGCCATCTCAAAAAAAAAAAAATGGAGAACGATCCAAGATGGCCGATCGCTAACATCCCGGGATTACAGCTCTCAGGGAAAGCGCAGAGAACTAGAGGACACCACACTTTCAGACAAATTCTGGTCGCTCACGGAGCAGAAGATCCCCCAGTGGAGGAAACACACGGGTGCCCAGCACGACTCTTGTGGCCGGCGCAGCGGTTCCTCCGGCACCTCGGCGCGGCAGCTCTCGGAGCAGAGTAAACAGGTTCGGAGGACCCGCACGGGTCCCCAGCAGGACACCAGAGCTCGGTGCAGCGGCTATGATGGCACCTCGGCGCAGCAGCGCTCGGCGCAGAGTAAACGGGCCGGTTCCCCTTCTGACCGAGGTTTGGAGCCCCGGGAAGGCAGAGTCGCCTACAACGGACACAAGAAGGAAGCCAGACAGGAGAATCCTGGGCAGAAAAGCACCATCAGTTTTAACACCACTGCTCTGGCCCTGGGAACTAACAACCTGGACGTCCACTCAAGAGACCTAATCTGAAAGTTGGTAATTTCAAAGACGACAGGAGGATAAATTTACAATGACAGGAAGAAACCAGTGTAAAAAAGCTGAGAATACTCAAAGTCAGAACGCCTCTCCCTCTAAAGATGATAACAGTTCCACATCAACAATGGAACAAGGCTTGATGGAGAATGAGTGCATCCTGATGACAGAATCACTCTTCAAGGAATGGATAATAACAAACTTCGGTGAGTTAAAAGAACATGTTGTAGCCCAACGTAAAGAAACTAGGAACTTTGAAAAAAAGTTTGATGAAATCCTATTGAGAATAGACAACTTAGAGAGGAGTATGAGTGAAATAATGGAACTGAAGAATACAATACAGGAACTCCGAGAAGTATGCACAGGTTTAAACACTCGAATTGTTCAAGCAGAAGAAGGGATATCAGAGGTCAAAGTCCAACTTAATGAAATAAAACGCGAAGAAAAGATTAGAGAAAAAAGGATAAAAAGGAATGAGCAAAGTCTCCAAGAAATGTGGGACTATGTGAAAAGACCAAATTTACGTTTGATAGGTGTACATGAATGCGACGGAGAGAATGAATCCAAGCTGGAAAATACTCTTCAGGATATTATTCAGGAAAATTTTCCTAAACTAGCAAAGCAGGTCAACATTCAACCCCAGGTAATACAGAGAACACCACAAAGATATTCCTCAAGAAGAGCAACCCCAAGGCACATAATCGTTAGATTCACCAGGGTTGAAACGAAAGAGAAAATACTAAGGGCAGCCAGAGAGAGAGGTCAGGTTACCCACAAAGGCAAGCCTATCAGACTTACAGCAGATCTCTCAGCAGAAACTCTACAAGCCAGAAGAGAGTGGGGGCCAATATTCAACATCCTCAAAGAACAGAACTTTCAGCCCAGAATTTCATATCCAGCCAAACTAAGCTTCACAACTGAAGGAAAAATAAAATCTTTTATGAACAAGCAAGAACTCAGAGATTTTATTACCACCAGGCCTGCTTTACAAGAGCTTCTGAAAGAAGCATTACACACAGAAAGAAACAACCAATATTAGCCTTTCTAAAAATACACCAAAAAGTAAAGAGCACCAATATAAAGAAGAATTTACACCAACGAATGGATAAAACAGCCGGTCAACATCAAATGGCAGTAACCCTAAATATAAATTCACTAAATCCCCCAATCAAAAGACACAGCCAAAACCCAACGGCATGTTACATCCAGACCTGTTTCACATGCAAGGATACACAAAGACTCAAAACAAAGGGATGGAGAAAGATTTATCAACCAAATGGAGAGCAAAAATAAATAATAAATAAATAAAAAGCAGGAGTTGCAATTCTTGTATCGGATAAAATAGATTTTAAAGCAACAAAGATATAATGGTAAAAGGATCAATGCAACAACAAGAGCTAACGATCCTAACACCCAGATACGAGACTTAGATCCAATGAGACAGAAAATTAATAAGATATCAAGGACTTGAACTCAGATCCGGAACAAGTAAACTTAATAAATATTTATAGAGCTCTCCACTTCAAATACACAAAATATACATTCTTGTCAATACCACATCACACCTACCCATAAATTGAAATGAAACATTGATTGGCCATTATTAATACCCAGTTTTTTTCAAAATAAAGCAATATTTCCATTTACTCTCCCTCTTTCTCTTCCTCTTTCTTCCTCTCCTTTACTTATTTTTTTTTTTCTTTCCTTCTCTCAAAAAAAAAGAAATCAACTTGTAAACCTCTAGATCCAGGTCGGCAATGTCTCTCTCATTGCTTGATTTCCTTCCTTCCCTTCCCTCCCTCCCTCCCTCCCCGCTTCCTCCCTCCCTCCCTCCCTCCCTCCCTCCCTCCCTCCCTCCCTTCCTTCCTTCCTTCCTTCCTTCCTTCCTTCATCTTTTCCTTCCTCCCTACCGTCCTTCTTCCCTCCCTTCCTGCCTTCCTCTCCCCCCCAAAAGAAAAAATGACAGTAGACTTCTTTTTGTTTTTTTTTTTTTTGTTTTGTTTTGGGGGGACATAGTCTCACTCTATGGCAAAGGCTGGAGTGCAGTGGCATGATCTTGGCTCACTGCAACCTCCACCTCCTGGGTTGAGGTGATTCTCTTGCCTCAGCCTCTTGAGTAGCTGGGATTACAGGCTAAATTTTGTATTTTTAGTAGAGATGGGGTTTCAGCATGTTGGCTAGGCCGGTCTTGAACTCCTGACCTCAGGTTATCTGCCCTTCTTGGCCTCCTAAAGTTCTGGGATTACAGGCATGAGTCACTGCACCTGGCTGCAGACTTCTTGGCCGCAGACTTCTTTTTAGAAACATTGAAAGCCAGAAGACAATGGAATAACATCTTCTAAATACTGAAGGAAAAAATTGTCATCCTAGAATTCTATACCCAACAAAAGTAGCTTTCAAAAATGAAGGGGAAATTAAAAACTTTTCAGACAGTTAAAATGTCAACAATCACCAGAATACTTGCATTATAAAAAATGGTGACTGAAGTCCTTCAAACAGAAGGAAAATTATACTAGATAGAAATCTGAATCTATACCAAGCAATTTAAGAGCACTAGAAATGGGGAGTTCTATCCAATAAATGAATAAGGAATGACAGAATAGAGTAACAAAATTTTGTAGGCTCTAATGAATTAATGAATCTAGGCAATGATCAACAATGACTGACAATGCGACAAAAAGAAGCAACTGTGTGCTATTATATACTAGAAATGTGAAGTAATATTGCCAAAAAATAAGAACAAAAAGAGGTAATAACCAAACCTGACTCTGGCCACTAGATCTAACTACCAATTGACTAGCTTTACAAGGGACAGAGAAACATGTTAAATGACACCACTGAGTTTTAATTATTTTAAAACTCCAGATTTGGGAAATTCTGTAAGATAAACAATCAGATTTTGTTCATTAAAAAAAGTGCAAAAAGAGAGAGAGAGATTTACACACAGAACTATAAACTAGAGACTTCAGAGACATCAATTAATCACAATATATAGATCTTGTTTAGATTTCTACTTGAAACAAACATACTAAAAAAGGAAAAAATTAAAAATCATTCAGGGAAATGTGAACACTGACAGATATTTTATAACATTAAAGAATTAGTGAAGAAAAAGAAGTTACCCATGCCAATAGAGGAGGAAGCTTGCCCCAAGGGGTGGGGACAGCATAGGCAAAGGCATACTCTTTAGTGAGGGGTGACAGTTTGGTAGTTACAGGAGAAGGACACCTGCTGCAAAAACATCATCTCACTTTCCCTCTGGGCGAGAGCTGGCTGTGGTGCTCTGGTTTCTGAGAAAGGAAAATGCAGCATATTGACATGGAGACTATTTCTGTCTACTTCTTCTGGCTTCCCTGGGTGTAGCAGGAACCTAAGGGTGGGGGAGAAGTGTTACTGAGGGATTTCAAGGCCACTCTCAGCAACAGGGAAAAGGACCTGGTGGTTTGGGTGGAGCAGAGGCTTTGAGTACATTGATCTCATCCCACTCTCCCAGCTCTGCCCTGGGATTGGAAGACAAGGAAGGAGAGGTATGGCATGAAGAAGAGGAAAGTAAAGAGGGAAGTGAAGAGAGGAAGAGGGGGGCAAGAGGGAGAGAGGGAGTGGCTGAAGTTAGAGCTCAGGATGTGTTTGGTTGTTTTAAAGTAGCAACTGACTTAGGGCCCCGAAACAGTAGATAGAAGACAGGCATAGTGGCTTGTTGCTCTTGTAATCCCCATGACTCAGGAGGCTGAGGCAGGAGGATCTCTTGAGGCCAGGAGTTTGAGACCAGCCTGGGCAACATAGTGAGACCCTATCTCTGAAAAAAAAAATTAAAAATTAGCTGGGTGTGGTAGTGTGTCCTGTAGTCCAAGTTACTTGGGAGGCTGAAGTGGGAGGATGGCTTGAGCCCAAGAGTTAGAAGCTGCAGAGAGCTATGATCACACCACTGCACTCTAGCCTGGGTGACAGAGCAAGACCCTGTCTCTAAAAAGCAAAACCAGACCCCAGTAGGTAGAACGCGACTCTGTCTCCTCTCCCTACTTACTTCTGTTCAGAGGCAAAGTAGGGGTGTAAGGAGGGATAAAGGGGATCCTCTAGCTGCAGAGATTGAAGAGTTTGCTCAAGGTTGACGGGACAAGCCAGGGGACCTGACCCCATGTATCCACGGCCGCCCACGGTGAATGATGGTACCTTTGTCCTGTGGTTTCCTGTTTTACCGAGATGCACAGTGAGAGATAATAGTAATCTTATAAAACATTATTGAGTACTTGCTATGCCAGGCTCTATTCCAGGTGTTTCCATATTAACTCATTTCATCTTGTCAAGAGTCCTTTGAGGAAGTACAATTAGTACTAGACCCATCTAATAAATGAGTTAACGGAGCCCTGAGAGGTTAGGTAACTTTCTTAAGGTCACACAGATATTAAGTAGCCCAGATGTAATTGAACCTAAGAAAAGTCTAGTTCCAGAGCACATGCTCTTCACAACTACCCGGATGGTATTGGTGACCCGACCAAGCCTGGTGTGACCTCAGCCCCTCCCTCAGAGCTTTAGAAAGGCTCCACCTTCTTTTCCCAGAGCAGTTGGGGCCCAGGGCTGGAATGAAGTCTTCTCAGTGTTCTAGAAGAGACCTGGAGCAGCACTAGAAACGCCACCCTGTGTGTGAAAGGCTGGTAGGGCCCCAAGGCTGGGGGAGAGTGTGCCAAAAGCAACAGCGTGCCTGCCCTAAACTGTTCTGAGGCTGCACAGCCTGGACGTCGGGCTGGCCCGTCCATGACTCCTATCAGCTCTGTAGCATTCCCACCTCGGCACATTCCGAGGGAGCCCAGGAAGGCACTGTCCCAGGCAGCACTCTGCGGGGTGGTGGGGTGGGGAGGCGTGGAGCTCGGGAAGGCCCGTATGTGAATCCTAGCCTGGCTCTTGGTGGGCAGCTGGGTCCCCTCCCCAGGTTCTGGCAGAACACCCTTGAACAATTTCGCCTGAAATAGCATAAGAACTTCTTTCCTATTTTTTCCAGGCTTTTGGATGAAATTATATTTTACAAATGACTCATTATTATATTTATAGCTTCTCTCCAAATGATTCAAATTGTGGTTTGTCGCCTCCCTGTCTCTCAGCTCCCCCCAGCTCGACAGGAAAAAGTGCTGTTTACTGTATGGCCAGGTGTGGCTGCTGAGAGCGGCTTTGCCTCTCCCTGTAATTACGTTTGCCTAAGCCCTGACAAGCACCCCGGCACATTTAGCCATGAGCAGCCTTTGTTCCAGCACGTTGTGGGGAGGCAGCCTCTGACATTAGCTGGGCTTGGAATCTGCTCCTGTAGGAAGAGCATGTGTGTGGTGGGGGTTGGGAGAGTGAGGACCGTAGGGGAGGCTGGGACAGAGGGGGCCTTTGTGAGGGCAGAGGCTGGAGGAGCTGGGCTGCAGTTCCTCCCTCAAAGCGCCCTATGAGAAGGCTGGGGTGGGCTAGCCCCGAGGGCCTCTGAAGAAGCATATTTCTCCCCACCCCCAGCCTCCATGGAGGAGCTGAGTGGGTCACGGTGGAGAAGCTGGTGGCTCATACATTCCAGGCTGTGCTAGCCTCCGGCCAGTGACACTCCACAGCTTTTTGTGAGGAACCACTCTGGCTCTTGAGAATGGGGAGATCTTGAATTCTCTCCCCTTTTCCAGGAAGCTCTTGGTCACAGTGATGGCTCAGCCCTCCCGCCCCTCCCTGCCACCCAGCTCCCAGGAAGGTGTGGTAAGGTTAGAGAAGCTTGCTCTTAAACAGGCCAGCTTTGAGAGGAGGGGTGGAGAAGAGGTTGGGAAGAGGCCCCATTTGTAGAAACAGTTTATTCCATTGGTCGCTGGTGGGATCAAAGTCCTCTGGGCCTACCCTCTGCTGGGTACTGAGTAAAGTTAAAATCCCATAAAATGGAAAAGAACATTTTGTAATTCATGGTGATATTCTCAGAGCCCACAAAGACCCTCTGCCTCTCTGGGTTCTCGGAGCTGGGGTGTGGTGACCCGCAGATGCCCCTGACTGGCCTGGGTTGAAGGCTGTGGGGCCACAGCAAGGACAGGCCACCCTGAGTGTCCTGAGGCCCAGAGGCAAGTAGGGAAACAGGCTACCCGATGAGAGAAGCTGCAGAGAGCTATGATCACATAGCTTTGTGGGAAATCTCTCCATTCTCCTCCCTTGACTTTAAGTGAAAAGACAGCTCCTGTACATTGCAGATTCTGCAGCTGTGGTGCCACGCAGCTTGGGAGGCTGGGCTGGATAAGGTCGGAGTCTGGAGTTGTCTGTGATCCAAGCCCTGGGCCCCGGTCATGTCCCCAGACACAACCCCAGCCCAGGTTCCTGAGTCTGCTTCCATTTTCACTTCTTGGCACTGCCTGTGTGAGTGGGAAGGGGACTGGGAAGGGGTTGATGTGGGAATGGGTGTGGATGAGCATGACGTCATTGTTGGTGAAATCAGTCTGAAGCCCTAACCAGATGATTTCCATCTGGGCTGAGCTGGGTCACTGTGAGGTGTGTGAGATGGGCCTGAGTGTGGCCGGGGACTACAGGGACCTCTGCCTCTGCCTCTTGGTGCTCCCCAGAGGTGGGAGGGGACAGCTGCAAGAAGGACAGAAGAGGGTCCTTGTGAGGCAGGGGAGGCTAGAAGGAGAAAGGATGCGGACTTACTTGGGCCATGGGGACCAACTTCTTCCTTAGGCCTGAGGGAAAGAGACTTCTTGGCAAGAAGTGCTGCCTTCTACATCCCAAGGGACCAGAGCCAGGGCAGCAGGACTGGCTGGCAACCAGACTGAAGGGCAGCTAATGCCACTGTCTGAAGCCACCATCAGGCCACTGTCTTTTATGAGACCGTGATCTCGTATCCACCCTACTCATGCTGTCACCTTTTCATTTGTCTTTTGACAGTCAACATGCCCAAGTGCTGTGAACGTTATGAGAGGGCGCCATTGGGCACATGCGCTCCTGGGAATCAGCGCCTCCCTCTGTCCCTTTCCCACTCCTCCCCAACGATGCTCCTGCTCAGAACCCACTCCTTACCTCCCAGAAGCAATGCAGTGGGCACCCTGTGGACAAACCTGGATATTGGCTATGAATAAAAGTGAATCATTGGGAAAATCAGTGTCTCAATAAACTGGGGTTTCCTAGTAGAGACCAGACTGTGAAGGCCCTTGCTTCATTCCATCTTTGAAGAGGATGATGATTTAGGGTTATTGGCCCATGATCAAAGTTGCGTTTCTAGGTTGTATTTACTGAGGTATTTGCCAACCACCTCCTCATTTCCAGGTAGCAACTTCCTTCTCGTGTCTGAGATGTTTAAGAGATGATGAAACTGTTAAAATGCGAGCTCTGAATGAAGAGACCCCTAGAGACTTTGTGTGAGCAACATGGCTGTTTATTCACCAGGGTGCGGGTGGGCTGCGTCCGAAAATGGAGTCGGCAAAGGCGGGTGGATAGGAGTTGGTTTTTTAGGTTGTGGGGAAGGCAGTGGAAAATTACAGGAGTTACAGTTTAGGGCAGTTTTTTGCAAGCTGGGAGGGATTGTAGGGCATGGAGTCAAGAGGTTGGCCAAGGTCAATTTAAAGTCCAATGGACTTGTCAATTGGGGCTAGAATAAAAAACAATAGAAGAATGTCTCAAGTTAGGTGCTAACTTGAGTTTCTTCCAGGAACTCATCTGGGGTGTACGTGCAGGTCAGATAGATTACCATGCCATTCATGGTGCAGTCAGACCTTACAGAAACCAGCTTGCACACTTCTCAAAGTGTGTTCACATCCATTATTTCACTGGGGATCAGCTATTATCTTCTCTATTTTCTTTATAAGGATATTGAGAGAGAGATGAAATCACTTGCCCAAGGCTGCATAGCTAGTTAACGACTGAACTAGGCTTAAAACCAGCGTCTGAAGGCTCTTATTCCAGTGGCAGCAGCTGCGTGCTGCTTCTGTTTTCTCTCAGTTTGGAAGGGGAGCATGAAGTCTACAGCCACATAGGTGGAGTCAGCAGAAAGATGTTTGACCACCGAGCCTGAGGCAGGTGAGGCTGATCTCCTGAGCACAGGATCTCTGCAGTTGTTCACAGACGTGCTATGATCCAAAGTTGCTGAGGGAAAAGCCCCTATTTGTGCAATTAACTGCAGGTCTCTCTTGAGGTCAGAGTAAATGCTATAGACCTTATTTATTTCTTTATTTTAATTGTGGTAAGGTATATATAATGTAATATGCACTGTTTTTGCTGGGCATGGTGGCGCATCCCTGTAATCCCAGCATTTTGGGAGGCTGAGGCAGGCAGCTCACCTGAGGTTAGGAGTTCGAGAGCAGCCTGGCCAACATGGTAAACCTTGTGTCTACTAAAAATACAAAAATCAGCCGGGTGTGGTGGCAGGCACCTGTAATCCCAGCTACTCAGGAGACTGAGGCAGGAGAATCACTAGAACCCGGGAGGCAGAGGTTGCAGTGAGCCGATATCGCGCTATTGCACTCCAGTCTGAGTGACAGAGCAAGACTGTTTAAAATTAAAATATAATGTACCACTTTTACATGTACCGTTTAGTGGCACCAAGTACATTCACACTGTTGTGCAACCGTCATCATTTTCCATCTTTTTTATCTTCTCAAACTGAAACCCCACACCCACAAAACCACAACTCCTCCTTCTCCTCCTCCCCAGCTCCTGGTAACCACCATTCTACTTTCTGTCTCTGGGAATTTGGCTACTCTAGGTAGCTTATGCAAGGGGGCTCGTACAATATTTGTGCTTTTGTATCTGTTTCATGTTGACTTATTTTTAATTAGATCACCATTTTCAAGTGCAGCAGGAATGCTGGTTAGTGATGTGCCATGCCGATAGAGGAATAAAGGAAAGAAAGAACAAAAAGGAAAAAGAAAACAGGAACATTTTGGGGTGGATTTCTTGACTGTCAGGGGTACCAGATGTAAGGGGGCGGCAGTGGGGGGTGGATAGGAAGAAAGTGTTACATAGAAAACAAAATGCTGTGCTTTATCATTCCACGGGTGGGCTGGCACTTATCCTGGAGGTAGATGTTTTGAGGATTATGCTATGCTCAACTCCGACAGGGAAGCGCTCTGGTAAGAACAATGAGACTTTCTGGGCATGTGGAAGGCAAGACAAATTGTTTTGCAAGTTGAATCCCCAGGAACTTGGAGTTTGGGTAGAAGGCCGTAGAAGAGAAGAGAAAGGCTGGAGAGAAGATGGTTTAAGTTGGGACTTAGGGGACAGTGAAAAGTTTTTTGAGGTTGGAGTTGGTTGGTGAACTTTCAGGGTAATGTCTATTCATAGACTTTCATTTGCTTACTGTCATTCTTTCTCTATGACCCCTAACCTTGAGTAAAAGTCTGCTGCTGTGTGAGTTGGGGGTGGCTGGGATCATGCCAAGATGGGGCTGAGCAGAGGGTGATAAAGAGGGTGTGGAGAGGAGAGCAGCTTTGGGAGGAGGTGCAGATGGAGGCTGAGAGGTGGGAAGCAAGGAGTCTGAGCCAGAGGTCACCAGAGGAAGCACAAACCTGAGAATCTTGGCATCTGAAAGCTGGGGGGTGGTGGCAAGATTTGAGAGGGACTGAAAGGTTGGGGGGGACACAATGATGGAGTCCCTATACTTAGGGGAATGGGGCTGAAGTCACCGCTTGGATATTATAGGGCAGGCAGGCCAGTTAGACAGCCCGGAGGAAGGAGTGGATGGATTTTTCTTCTTGGAGACCTTTGGCAACATTTGGACAAGGTACAGCCCGGGTAAGGAGGAAGTCCCTGTAGTTCAGCTCACTGCCTCCAAGATTTCCAGATACACGGAGAAGAAGACTGTGTTTCTCAAAACAGAGATGGACATAGAACCAAGGCCAAGCCCAGAACATGTCTCAAGCTTTCAAAACAACATTCTCTTTAAAATCATCTGAAAGCAGAGATATATGGCAGGTGACATAAGCTTTTTTTTTTTCGACGGAGTCTTGCTCTTCACCCAGTTTGGAGTGTAGTGGTGCGATCTCAGCTCACTGCAACCTCTGCCTCCCAGGTTGAAACGATTGTCTTGCCTCAGCCTCCTGAGCACCTGGGACTACATGTCTGCACCACCATGCCAGGCTAATTTTTGTATTTTTAGTAGAGACAGGGTTTCACCATGTTGGCCAGGCTAGTCTTGAACTCTTGGCCTCAATCGATCTGTTTGCTTTGGCCTCCCAAAGTGCTGGTATTACAGGTGTGAGCCACTGTGCCCAGCCAACATATGCTTTTTGTATCCACTAGACATAGCAGGAATCCAGTGAGAAGGTTGGGCTGCTCCCACCAGATCCTGGAGGAGCCTGGCATGAAGAGTGAGCTGTGTATCGTGTTGCTGGGAATGCTCAGTGATTCTCTGGCCAGGTCCTGGGCTAGTGTGGGCTGGGGATGGAGCCCTGCCTGGAATCAGTGATGCATCCTGAAATCTCTGGACCAGGCTGCATGGTGATGGAGACCATGATGAGGCTGGCCGAGGACACTTCCCTCTGGTCCTCTCCAGCCTTTGCCCTGAGAACCAAGGCTCTAGGCTCATCTGGCTACACTGATCCTATTTTTGGCCCAGCACAGCATCCTTTTGTTACTTGGGACCTGGGGAAAAAGGCCTGGCTCGGCTCACACTTGAGAAGGTTTGCCAAATGTGTTAGTTACCACTAAAAGCTTGTAAACCTGGGGTGCACGATGCCGTGGGGGCCTGGGCTGGCTGGAGGATGTGCTGTTTAAAAGTTCCAGAAGTTCCTGCCGGCTGGGAGGGAAGAATGTCTGCAGAGTCAGAGGCAAGCCTGCCCTGGGCCTAGGCCAGCTTTCCCTCTCGTGGGCCCCTCTGCTCTGGGGGAGCTGCGTGTTCCCTTCTACTCAGGCAGCTTGGGAAAGACCAGAGGCCCTTTCAGGGAAGGGAGAAAAAGGGAAACAGGCCTGAAATGACTGTCGCGAAAGCCCACTTCTGAGCTTCAGCCCAGAGCACAAACGCATTTTCTCCTCAGTTATGAGAATGTGGAGAGTTCCAAGAGGTTGCTCAGGGGAAGTCTAGAGCCTCAGAGCTCAGATACTAGGAGGACCTTGAAGAGCAGTTAGGACAGTCCCCTCATTTTACTGGAAGGCTAATATGAAACAGAATGGAATTTGGCAGGGGCTGGGATGCCTTTTTTCTTCTGAGGCTTCATTTCCTGAAAGAGACAGTGTCCATGATGAGCTGATTTCACTAATTCACTCATTGCATTTTTTAAAAAACCTCAGCTGTCCAGATCTGGCTTCTTTGGAAGGTAACAGAGTTTGTGGCTTCCAGGGTGTTTTCAGTTTGGGGCCATAATTTCTGTTTGTTCATTTAAAATATTTGTTCACCACAGGCTTATTGCCAGGTCTTCCTATGCACAGCATCAGGCTGTGCTTGTGAATGGCCAAGGGAAGCTGGAAATAGGCGGAATCAGGAAAATACAAGAATAAGGCAGGGGCTGGTGTGGTCTAGGAGGGTTAGAAGGTAGAGGCCCGCAGACCTGGAATTAAGGGTGGTGTTTGGGCACCCTCAGTGAGGAGTCTTCATAGCTATGGAAGAGACCAAGAGACCCTGGAAAGACATCTGTGCAGGGCCCAGGGACTCAGGACCCCCTGTGGATGCAGCTGAGCTGCACCTGGGAGGGCTCTGAGATGGACAGGCCCCTGGCACAAGAAGCTTCAGAAAGAGGAGGCCTGCACGGGGGCAGCCAGGCATATCAGGAAAAGAACTCAAAAAAAAAGAGACAGAAAGCAGGTGACACAGAGTGAAATGGGGCCTGAATTAATTATAAATGGTGGTGGCTGTATCTTTTTTTGGGAGGGGCTCAGGAGGCTGCCAACTTTGATCTCATTTTTCTGGACAGGCCTTTAGGTTACCTCTTCTATCCACCACTCAGTCACCAGAGAGTTAGTGCCTTCTGACAGAAGCAGCTCTTGGCAGAACACAGGAGACATAAGCAGCTGGGGCTGGGGCAACACCTGCGAGGGGTGGGCTGGGAAGGAGACAGACACGGTGGTGCAAAAGAGGAAAGTCTATCATAGCCTCCTGTCCTGGGAGGCAGAGTGGAGGGGTGAGCGGCGGGGTTTGGGGAGGGGCCATCTCTGTCTTATTCACATGGTAGCCCCGGTGCCTAGCTCAGTGCCAGGCACGCCTTAAATAACGAAATCATCAAATAACAGAATGAGTGAAATTAGCATATGTCTGAACACACAGAGTGCCATCCTCTCGAATCCCTATGCTAACCTGTATTTTCCTTCTTCAGGATTTATGGAATAATTGGGAATCTTTGCCTACTGTGAGCTTTTCCCTTTATGAAGGTTCTTCTCATTGCTGGTGTGACAGAGGGCACGGAAGCTGTATTCCTGCAATGATCTCAGCATAAAGACCCTCCATCTGACAGGGAAAGGGCAGGTAGGAGGAGGGCCAGGAGGACCTCCTAGAGCTGGCTGTGCAGGATGTGGAGGGTGGGCTGGTACAGAGGCTGAGGGCGGAGGTCAGGGTGAGAGGAGGCATTAGCAGCTTTGTTAATTGCATCATATCTTTCCTCCAGGTGAGACAGCACTAGGCTTATGCCTCATCCTCAGCAGGTGACCAAAGGAGGAAAATAAAACAGAACGTCCACATGCTCTCTGACGAGCTGGAACCCCTGGTACTGGTTGCTCTGAGAAGCCACCGGTTTTCTTCCTTGGACAATTTCAGAGCCCATCATTATGGTTTACGGAAAGGAAGTGGTGCCGAGAGAGACCCCTGCTTCTCCTGCCAGCTCTTCTCCCTTGAGAAAGCCCCTCCACTTCTCCTGAGCTTGGTTTCAGAAGTTATGGTTCATCCTTTCCCATTGGGAGTCCTTCTGGGATGGGCTCCATGTATTCCTCCAGCAGCAGGGGGGATGGTTGAGATGACCTTTTCAGGTCACTCAGGAGCTCTTCCACTTTCTCAGGATGATCTAAGCATCTCCCTTTCCTTTAGAAGCTGTCAGAGCTAACTCCGCGTGGGCGTAGGCTCCTGGCAGCTACATCACCTCCCCTCCAATATTTAAAAGATCTATGCTGGTTCTTAGGGCTTCCTAATCACAGGCTTTTTTTTCTGGGCTCTGCCTTAAAGGCTACATCCGTTTTTTTCCGCTGGTCTAAACACGACCGCCCCACAGCTCTAGAAATGGCTGATTTTCGTTATGCCCTTTCCAACCAGATTATTTCTTAAATTGCCCTCCCCCCGTTGGGTGTTCTGGGACACAGACGCCAGTGTGTGGGATCCCCGGCTTTCCTTTCTCCTTGAGCAGCTAGGGGAGAGCCTCAGTTTCTCCTGGCCTGCGGGCAGCAGCCGACCCAGCCTGGGGAGTGGGCCTCGTGTACCCTCGGAGGCCCAGGACCGCGAGGCCACGCCGAGGACCCCCTGAAAGGCAGACCACCACGAGGCAGCGTGAGGACCACACTGCCGCGCCCCAGAGCCCGCCGCCGCCTGTCCCCGCGTCTGAGGTCCACAGGAAGTGCTGCGGCAACACACGCCCCGGGAGGAGGCTTTGTGAACTGAGGCTCCGCGCGCCCCCCACGCGCGCCCCTCACGGGCAGCCGGGACCAGCCCGCCGCCCGGGCCCCTCTGGGAAGGGCTCGGAGGCGACGCGGGGAGGGGGTCGGGGGAGGAGGGAGCGTTCCTGCAAATCACATGATTTTCCCGCTTATATAAATCACAGCTTGTTTTTCTCAACCGGGTGCAGACTTAAAGGTGCAGTGTCTCCTTTCTCTCCCAAGGGCAGAGGTTCCCCAGGGTGCTTTGGACGACCCCTGAGCTGGGCTGGGGTGGTTTCACCAAGGAGGGGTCAGGGTTTAGGGTTCAGGAACCCCCACCCATCCCCCATCCCCGGGATGTTTCCTTTTAGCTCGGGACCAGGGAGGGGCATGGAAATCTGATCGCCAAATCAGCAGGCAGAGCCGAGCTGGGGCGGCCTCCAGCGCCTCGCCTCGGTCAGCGATCGCTCTGGAGACCATCGATGCCCGTGGGGGACCCTGAGCTGAGGGTTACATTGAAATTGGCCTGTGGCAGATTTGCGGTGGCCAAGAGCAGACTTCTAAGGGTGATGCTTACCGTTCTGACCAGCCCTGGCTGTGTTTGAGGCCAAGTTATGTGGGAAGAAAAACGAACTCAACACATACCCAGCACCTATCACTTACCTATTAGGCACTGTAGGGAGAAACCAAGACTTTTTAGACAGTCCTCACCTCCAAGTGGTTTATAGTATTTAGGTGATGAGATATGTAGATATAGACATAGAGGCAGACATGAGATACAGAGATTCAATAGCAGCTGGGGGCGGTGGCTCATGCCTGTAATCCCAGCAGTTTCAGAGGTCCAGGCGGGCGGATCACCTGAGGTCGGCAGTTCGAGACCAGCCTGGCTAACATGGTGAAACCTTGTTTCTACTAAAAATACAATAATTAGCCAGGTGTGGTGGTGCCTGCCTGTAATCCCAGCTATTCGGGAGGCTGAGGCAGGAAAATCGATTGAACCTGGGAGGCGGTGGTAGTGGTGAGCCAAGATTGCACCACTGCTCTCCAGGCTGGGCAACAAGAGCAAAACTCTGTCGAAAAAAAAAAAAAAAGATTAAATAGCACCAGTCAGTTTCAATGCCTATTCTAGGCTAAACAGAAGAGAGTTACAAGGCAATGCATAATTACTTGCTTGATCAACAGTACAGATAATGAGTCCTGCAAGCCTTGGGAGGAGGGCTCCGGAGGCCATGACTGACAGGTGGCCAGAGGCAGGAGGGGGACAGGCAGCTGGGGGAGGAGGGACTGCAAGTGTCAGGAGGGGAGAAAGGAGCATTATGTTGGAGCAATCTCTTTGCTAAACTGAGGAACTGGGGAGAGGAGGAGTGGGGGTGAGGCTGGAAAGCTGTGGGGAGGCCAGGTGCAGTGCCCTGGAGTGCAGGGCTGAGTGTGGGCTTGGTCTGGTGAAGGCAGCCTGCAGAGGTGGGAGGGCAGGTGAATGCTATGATGAAGGAGGTGTTTGTAAGGACCACAGGTGTGGCAGCAGTGTGCAGGGTAAACTTGAAGCACTGGCAGAGACCCGTTGGAGGCTTCTGCAAGGAACCAGGCTGACAAGGTCACAGTGCTGGCGTGTTAAGAGAAAAGGTGAAAGTGAACAGAGAGAAGTAAGAGATTTTGAAGAAAGAATGGAGATAATTGAGTGATTGTGTATATGGCAAAGGGGAGAAATCACCAGAAGTGATGTTGATTTTGAGCATGAGTGGCAGGGAGAAGAGGGCAGCCCTTAGGTGGAGGGGGGAGTGTGAGCGGCCAGAGAAGGAGCTGCTTTTGGAGATGGTGTTTTTTTTGTTTTTTTTTTGAGACGGAGTCTCGCTGTTGTTACCCAGACTGGAGTGCAATGGCGCGATCTTGGCTCACCTGCAACCTCCGCCTCCTGGGTTCAGGCAATTCTCCTGCCTCAGCCTCCCGAATAGCTGGGACTACAGGCGCACACCACCATGCCCAGCTAATTTTTGTATTTTTAGTAGAGACAGGGTTTCACCATGTTGACCAGGATGGTCTCGATCTCTTGACCTCGTGATCCACCCGCCTTGGCCTCCCAAAGTGCTGGAATTATAGGCGGAAGCCACCGCGCCGGGCCTGGAGATGGTGTTTTGTGAAGAGAGCGAGAGCGGGCTCTTAGCTGGGAAATGTCCAGTGGGCTGAAGTCAGAGAAAGTAATTCAAGGGATGAGAGAGATCTTGCAGATCTTACAGGGAGATCACAGAAAGGGGGAAAGAGAAGTGGGCCAGGAGACACCCATGTTTAGGAGAAGGAGCCACTGGCCAGGCTGTGGAAGGAATGTTCACACCCCAGGAGCAGACTAACCTGGGCACCAAGTGTCTCTGCCTGACCTTGGCCAAGTGATTGATTCTGTCTGAACCTCAGTTTTCTCATCTCTAAAATGGCGCTGAGAGCACTTGCACTAGTTTCAGTGAGGACGCAGTGACATATCTGAAGTGTCTCACATGGCACAGTGTCTGGCGCAGGGCGAGTCCCAGGTGCTCTTCCTCCCCACGCTTCCCTTCCAGCCACGCCCTCTATGTCCTTCACGGCAGGCACTTGAACCACTTTCTCTCCTTTTAAATTGTTGTTGTTTTTCTTCTTACCTCTCTTCCTCTTCATCTCCTTTTTCTAGAAGAAACATGCAGTCTTGTTTGCATTACTAAGTATTTGAACTGGAAATACCCTCCATTATGAAGGAAGGAAATAATAAATTTTTTTCCTAAGGGCCTCTTAGCTGAAGCTGGCTCTGACCTCACCGGACCCTCCCAGCAGCCCTGCAGGGTTGGGAAGGCAGGTATTATCAGGCCCCTTTCCCCCCCACATAGCTGAAGAAATGGAAGAATGGTTGTAAAAAGTTTTATTATTCTGTTGAGACCCACATGTCTAATCAGTACTCTCTAGTTCAAAGCTTTCTAAATGTCTATTTGCAGCCCTTTATTTTTGGAAATAATTTTACTCAGTAGTCAAATAAAATAGATATAGGCAACCCAGTTCTGGTTTCAGTGCAGTGGGGAGGTTCTGAGTCATGACTGCTTGGCGGTGCTCCCGCTCCCAGTCCCAGGCCAGGCTGAGAAGTGGGGCTTTCCTTCTGGGGTAACCCAGCACCCAGAGCCTCTGCCTCTACACTAAGCTTCATTGTTTCCTTTTCAGCCACAAACTTCGTGACTGTGAAAGCCAGGCCCCAGCCCAAGAAGGCTTCACAGACCCCTAGGTGTGCCCTCTGTGTGAGCCAAGTGTTGACTCTGGCGATGATGCCAACAGCCCGGCTCTGCCCAGCTTTCAGCCACATGAATGTGAACCAGTGGAGCAGCACCAGCTCAGGCTAAGGCAGAAGGCCAGGTGCACTGTCTCTGGCCAGGCAGGATGAACAGCAGCACCTGATGTCATGGGGGGCAGGGGAACCACCCTGGCTGGGGCATGCTAACTTACCCTGCTGATGTGCTGTTCATCCTAATTCTCTTTTTGAATGAGTTTCTTTAAAAAACGACTTGTTAGGTGAAAAGATAGTTTGTGTTTAAAAAAAAATTTTTTTTTAAGGCAGAGTCCCCAGCTGGAGTGCAGTGGTGGAATCTTGGCCCACTGTAACCTCTGCCTCCTGGGTTCCAGTGATTCTTCTGCCTCAACCTCCTAAGTAGCTGGGATTACAGGTGCATGCCACCACACCCGGCTAATTTTTTGTATTTTTAGTAGAGATGGAGTTTCACCATGTTAGCCAGGATGGTCTTGATCCCCTGACCTTGTGATCCACCGCCTCGGCCTCCCAAAGTGCTGGGATTACAGGCGTGAGACACCATGTCTGGCCAGTTTGTGGTTTTTAGAATGATGATTTGAATAAGGCAGGTATTGGTAAAATGCTCTGCAGATAGTTATCAAATACACTAATGCTTAAGATAAACTCCTGGCAATGGAATTAGATGAAAGTATATATATATTAAATTTTAAAATATACACTATTTAAGGCATATGAATAGACATAAAAAATAAAAGAACCTTAAAAAATAACACTGTCATCACAAGCAGAACTGCTTTATACAACCCTGTTCTCGCCATCCTTTCCCTTCTATCTAGAGGACACCAGGATCCTGAATTTGGTGTTTATCATTCCTGTGCAATGCTTTGAATGTTTTTACATTTTATGTAAATTATATTTTGCTATATGCATTCTTCTGAAACTTGCATCTTTTATTATTGTGATTCAGGGTCTTGTTCTGTTGCCCAGGCTGGGCAGTGGTGTCATCATGGCTTACTATAACTTCTAACTCCTGGACTCTAACTTCTGCCTCAGCCTTCCAAGTAGGTAGGACTACAGGCTTTCGCCACCATGCCTGGCTAATGAAAAAAAAATGTGTAGTGATTGAGTCTCATTATGTTGTGCAGGCTGGTCCTGAACTCTGGGCATCAAGCAATCCTCCTGCCTCAGCCTCCTGGGTAGCTGGGATTACAGGCATGGGCCACCGTGTCTAGCTGAAACTGGCATTGTCTTTTCCTCAGTATTAGATTTCTGAGATTCTTCCATGTTGATACCTTTTTAAAACTAATTTATATTCACTGTAGAACTTCAAATTGTGTGAATATACTACAATTTACATATCCATTTTCTGGTTGATGGATATTAAAGTTGTACCAGTTTTTTTTTTCTGTTACAAACAATGCTTCTATTAACATTCTTGTATACATCATCTCTTGATTGTGTATGTGTGGGAGTTTCTCTAGAGTATTTGCTTAGGAGTGGAATTACTGAGTGGTTCATAGATTATGGAAATCTTCAATGATATTAGAAATATTCTCTGGGCCTGGCGCGGTGGCTCGCACCTGTAATCCCAGCACTTTGGGAGGCTGAGGTGGGCAGACCACATAAAGCCAGGAGTTTGAGACTAGCCTGGCCAACATGGTGAAACCCATGTTCTACTAAAATAATAACAAAAATTCACTGGGTGCGATGGCATGAGCCTGTAATCCCAGCTAATCCTCAGGAGGCTGAGGCAGGAGAATCGCTTGAACCTGGGAGGCGGAGGTTGCAGTGAGACGAGATGGTGGCGCCACTGCACTCCAGCCTGGGTGACAGCTAGACTCTATCTCAAAAAAAAAAAAAAAAAAGGAATATTTTTCAAACTGGTTATTGTAATTTACACACTTATCCACAGTTACTCCACATCTTTACCATCACTTGTTGTCAAACTTTTAATTTTTGT